ATACTAGGAGCCTTCTATCAAGTTTTCAAGCTTTCGCAACCAACAAATAAAATTGTATTGATATTTTTAGGAAAAAAACTAAAAAAAAATGGAAAATGAAAATGTCCCTAAACAGTTCAAAATAAATTAAAATATTTTGAAAATGTTATCGTGTAGAGAAAATGCAAATATAAACAACCAGTGAAAATCTCAGGTACGTTAATTTGTTTTAGAGTTACACCAAAAACCAAAATCTATTTTTTGGAAAACCGATTTTGCGTAAAATTTGAAAGAAAATCTAAGCACTTTTACTGTCCCAAAACGTGATGACAGACACAAAAATAAAAATTAAATTAAAAATTAAAAAAAAACACACATCATTGTAAAATCAATATATTCATCGTTTCACTCAGAATCTAAAATTCATTCCAAGTATTTTTTTTTTTAAATGCGCGTTACGAAATAATGTAGTTTTTGAAGTTTTTCATCAAGAACTTCAATACGAAGCTTGTCCGGGATTTTTTTTTATATTCTTAAAAAACACCATTTAAACAACATTTTGAAAAAAAAAAATTTTAAAATCGAAAAGTTGCTAAACCAGAACCGTTTCCAAAAATAATACGGGTAACCGAACTTAATTTACAAAGAAAAAATACAATTTATAACAGAATTAAAATAATATTATACTCATTGGCCATTGCTCATCAATAACTGTTCACCGTACACTTATAAAATTAATATTTTATACTCGTAAACGCATTTCCTTTTAAATATTATCATGACTTTATGAGTAGGTACTTATAGGCTATAATACGCCATAATATACTTCGCTATAGCCTATATTATATGCTCCAATACACTCCTGATAATACCCACGTACCTATTGTAATTAATGTACTGTCATAATATTAATTATTATGATCTTACGAATAACAATTAGGTATTTACTATGAAATCCTTTGTTCAGAAACACAGAAAATTGCGCCGAATGGTTTGGCATCGTCGCCGGTGGAGGTAGGAGGCGTGGCGGACATTATCAGACGCGATTTCAAATCCGCCGCCGTAGCCGTCACGAACCTGGCGAGCAGAGTTTTAGCAATCGCGTCCATAGAATAAAGATTATCAGCTATGCCGTCTGACGTTACATTTTATAGCGCTGTTGTCTCGTTTTGTTGTTGTTGAATTTCACACTGGAGTTATTTTCAGCTCAAGCGATTGCCGATTCCGTTGTGTTTTTCCCAACATTCTCGCCGTGTCCATTTCGCCGACGGAATTTCCGTTGTCTGAATACGACAAACGCAGCAAGTGAACAATCGGTCGACACCACTACTACCGTTCGGGTTTCAACTGAAAATTATAACGTTTTTCGGTCAGTCAAGACTGGTAGTTGGCGTCCGATCTCATTGGTATCCGCCCGAGTCGCAAGCACTCGGCGTTCTTGAAAAACTTCATTTTTTTCTATCCTGACCCTCCGAAACCAATCCACGCCATCCGTCAAGATGACCGAAGAAATCGATGAGATCGTGTAAGTATTCAAGTACCTATTCGTACTTTAAGGCAAGCGTCGCCAACCACCGGAAATCGATGTCGTTATTTTCGCGTTTAGTTAATGTGTAATGCTGAGGCCGCCGCTCGCCAAACAAATTTTGCTCACGAAATGAGTTTTTATGAAACGACGGGTACGCTATTTAAATAGGAAAATAAAACATGTCACATGGCGCTCTGCGCAAATAATGCCCGTGATTGTCTTAGCCTTCATGCTCAATTTGTTCAGGCGGTACACCGTTTAAAATAAAATTTCATGTAGCTTGATTTCAATCACTGACTGTCGATTTTATATTATCACTGGGTTTAACACTGCGTCATACTTTCATAGCTACATGAACGATTGTTATATAGGTACTTTTTGAATTCATACTATGCTATCTCTCCCAATATGTGGTTTACCAATCAACCGTGATGTCTACGATACAAATTTTATTGAATTCAGAGATTTTACATGAAATAAATATACAAATAAAATTTTTATGACGAGCTAAATTGCAATAGAAAACATATTCCAGAAATTGTATTACTTAAACCAAGGTATAAAAACCCACTCGGATGTTTGCTCCAAATCACTAACCTGGTGCGGTATAATATGAGGATCATATTGCACTGGTTTGGACCACAAATTTCTAGATTTATACATAAAATACGATAAGTAATAATATTTTAAATCTGCATATGGTTATATAATTTATATTCTATCAGAATAAGATTGCACCGCTTTTGCTCATACAGAGTGAGCCGTCGAACAGTGCCTGACACCCCATGCGATGGCTATGCGTGCATTCTGTGATTGGCCAACTGTCATTGTCGTTGGTAATCGGGCGCCTGTGCTAACGCTCTCATCGATGTATGCATTGTGGTGGGGATACGCCGAAAAAACGTGTTTTGGTCAGCTGAGGTTTCAATCTTATTCTGAATAGAATATAGTGTTTAAGTGACTAGTTGTTCTCATACGTTTGTTCGTTTTATATTCAGTACTTTCCATTTTTATATAGGTTCCATTTTTATTTATGTAGGTATTATATACCTACAATTTTTAAATTGTATGTTAAATAAAAACTTTTTATTATTTATTTGTATTTTTTTTCATACATATTTTGGCCAAAATAACAACATATTATAATCACTTTTTCATTAAAAAAATACACGAAACTCTACCCTATTAATAATTATTTATCAAATAGTTAATTTATTAAATTACAAATCAAATATATTCCCAGTTTAATATAGAAATAATAATATTTTAGGTAGGAGGTAGGTAGTAGGTACACAAATTGGGGGTAGACTTTATATTGGAAGATATATTATTGTATGGAAAAAACAACACATTCTTATTCATTAATTAATTATTACTGTTTCAATTATAATATTGAAATGTATTGTGTTAAAAGTATGTATTATATAGGTATAGCCGTATAGGTAATATGCAAAACAATTAAAAGTATCTATTGATATATCTTATTTTTGGATAGGCTCTGTTCATAATATTTTGTGTACCAAATGTTGGCTTTCCATTTATTTGTTTTTACAAATACCTGTACACAATTGGTTAGCACATGTATAGATGATAATATAGGTAAACTTGAGTACTTTTATTTAAATGTTTTTAAACAGTTTTATTACCTATGATAAATTAATATCCTATGTGTTAGGTTAAGTATATTGTGTAGGTTAGGTTAGGTTGGTATTTGGGAGGGGTCAAAAGTGAAAATTTCCCAGTAGTTTTCGAAAGTGGGGTGAAAAACAAAATAGAAATTAAGGATAAACGGGAATTTTTACACTAAAATCTGTTTTCGAAAAAATCGATTTTTGTTTTTGGTGCAACTCTTAAACAAATGACCGTATTTACATGAAATTTTGACTGAATGTTTATATTAGCATTTTCTATGCACGATAACATTTTCAAAATGTTTTGATTTATTATGAACTGTTTAGGCACATTTTCATTTTCCATTTTATTTTTAGTTTTTTTTCTAAAAATATCAATAAAATTTTATTTGTTGGTTAAAAAAGCTTGAAAATTTAATACAACTCTCCTACTATATTGTAACAATGGCATTTGTAAAATATTAAAAATCCTTAGCACAGTTTTTTTTTATAAGCATTAAAAGTTCAAAAATTGACAAAATATGGAAAAATCACGAAAATTAGCAAATTATTTTGAGTTAAGAATTCGTAAAAATTTTTGTTTTTAAATCTAAGATTTTAAAGTGTAATACAAGATTCCTTATAAGATTATATATATACCTTTATCAAAAAAAAAAATGTCTATATGAAAGTCAAATTAAATTTTTATGAGCGTTTGGAACTCAAATTTTTACAACATTGGATATTCAATCAATTTCTCATGTAGCGATTTCCTTATTTTGTTGTAATTCAAAAACAAATAACTGTAGATACATGGAAATTTCACTGAATGTTTATATTAGCATTTCCTTACACACTATGCAATTTTGAGAATGTTTTGAGCTGTTTACGGACATTTACAGTTTTCAATTTTTTTAGTTTTTTTTTCTATAAATATCAATTAAATTTTATCTAATCTGCCAAAAAGTGTAAAAATATAATACAAGGCTCCCGATATATTGTTACATAATCAGTTGTAAAATATTTAAAATACATAGGCACAATTTTTTTTCATTAGCATTTAAAAATCGATTTTTGACAAAATTTATCAAATTTAAAATTAAATAATTATTTTGTAGTTAAAATGTATAAAATGTTCAACTTTTATATCTAAGGATTGAAAATTTAAAACAAGATTCCACGTAAGTAGTTAATTCTGTTACCCAAAAATCTAAAAAATACACAAGCACAGTTTATTTTTATAGTCATTTTAAGTTCAAATTTGGACGAAATTACATAATAAAAAACCTAGAGTAACTATTTTAGTTATTTTGCTGCGAGTGTATAATATTATTTGTGGGTACTTGAAACTTCTAAAGTACACTATTATATATCTATGATAGTATCAGGGTTTGTTGTTGATGTATAACACATTATAAGTGCCTAATGGATATTGTGATATGATTAATTTGGAATTTATTATAGGTCAATATTTTTTAAAGTACCATAGATATGTGTATAATATGTCTTAAACCTACAGTCGCGGCAACAAAAAATGAGCGTTGGTACCGCGACCCGTTGCTTTTACCCACTCGTACTGCCAATGATTCTCAACATAGTGCAGCTGTCGTGCTGCACTGCTACTACGCGCTGTAGGGCTTTTCGTTTCAAAAATTGATAACCACTACTAATAAACTGCCGCTTGGCGCATGACGGTCAGCGCTCATTTTTCGTTGCCGCGACTATAGACTGACATATCGTCTTCGCTCAGAATCGTTATATCATTGAATTCAAATTTAATACCATCCATTATACAGTGACCCACTTGTAACCTACTGTACAGCAGAACACCTTTTTTTTCTTGTATTATTGGTAACTGTTAATATATTTGTTGTAATTTACAGAAGATTCATTGGGGATGAAGGATGTACCCACACAATTCATAGCAACTCTACTAAAGTTTTTTCAAGTCAAGGATCTCATAACAAAGGAAGTTCACAATTAACACTTAAAAATTTTGTTAATTTTAATTGGGATCAATGTTATTACCGTGGGCAATTGATTGCCTTGCATATAAGTGAGAAGTACATAGCTTATGGCTTCTCTAATAGTAAGTTATCTTCAAAAATTATTTAATTTTTGCCAAAAAAAAAAATATTTATTTTTATTTTTTATTATTATTTTTTTTAATAGCGGACACTTATGAGGGTTTGGTTCGCATTGTCAAAACAGAGAGTAATGAAAGAGCATTAGTTAAAGGTTTTTCAAATTTAATTGAAGATATAAGTTTTGCTCATCTTTATGAAATAATAATGTTGGGTTGTATTGACCAATCTGGAACCACTTATGTGTATGTCATAAAAGAAGAGAGCTGTTCATCTCCAAAACTTAGAGTTTTTCCAGTTTTTCAAATCAACGGGGTTTGTAAAAATTTTCTATATTTAAATTACTGCAATGTTTAAATATATTTAGTTAGGTTCATTAAATAATTTATTATATGTGATAAAATTAAGATAAGTCATATATTGGTTATCAAATATTAATAAGGTACCAGAGGTTTAAAAGTAGATCATACTTTTTTAGTTACTGTCGCGCAGGGCCGGACTGGCCCAGTGGTCTACTGTCCTAGAAGACAGTGGGCCGCTGTCCTTGGTTGGGTTTTTTGGATTTAATGGATCATGATTTGAATACTCTAAAAATCATAAAAAAACCAATTACGTTCATCATTAATCCAAGAATGTTTTTAAGCTTTTATGTTAATGTCAGGAGAAATACAAGTTATAGAAAAGGTCAATTTCCAAGATGTTTTGGAAATAATTAAAATTCTTCATCGTTTTTATTCTAATTGTTATCTTAAGTAATAGAAGTTATTGAAATCCATTAAATAATTTCTATTTTTTTTTTTTCAAGTTAAACCTTAGCATAATAATAGAGACTTAGTGACTAAATTATTTACTTGTCACAATGTTAATTTTGTATATTGGTAAATGATATATTATATCCAACAGAAACCTAATCGAGAATAAGGGTCAAGTACCAGTTCCCTCACAAAAAAGTCTGCCTATCAAAGTAGTGATACCTACATTTTGACCAAGTCTGCTCTTTCTTTAATCAATAACCTTAATATACAACTACATTTATGTGCAACAACAAGTCTCTTTTAATTTTGTTGCTCATCAGTATTGCCAATTTCTGATTTTGTCTCTGAAGCATTGAAGACGACTGAAATACATTTCGATCACTATTTGGTTATTTTTGCCGTGCACTCGGATAAATGTTATCATTAGTATTAGAAAAATCCCTAATCTCTTTAACTAATGGCTGATTTTTATTCTTATCCTCAAATTCATATAATATTTAGATTTAGCAGTTTGGCACTCTTATTAACATCTAAATAAATTGATGTATTATGTATACAAAATGCAGAAATTGTAAAATTAAAAAAAAAAATCTTCATACTCCTACTCTGTTTAAACTTTAAAGTGTCACTAACTTTATTAAAAATGCAATTTTTTAGTTTTTCCCTTTATTTGCATTATAAAAATTAGCTTTGTGCCAAATTTCACGTTTCTACCCATACAGGAAGTACCTTATAATTGTAATGAACAGTCAGTCAGTTGGTAACAAAAATCCAAACTTTGAAGTTCTCCCTGTTGAAAAGGCTAAATTGTTTACATTGTTCTAAGCCATTTGAGCTGAATATATTATGTTTAAAATTTCAAAAGTTTATCTTATGGTAATGCAAAGATGAGGGTTAGAAAAATCTGCTGATGCCATTTTTAACACCAATATTCCTAAAACTGGTGTGGCTCACTACCATGCGCTTAGATGTAATAGTCAAGGCTAGAATATATTTTTCAAAAAAATGTGTATGATGGCGATGGGGGGAGGGGGATAAAATGCATGAGTGAGTGTTCAACTTCATTTACTGTTTTTGCTGCTGCAGTTATAGCTAAATCTTTAACATAATATAGGAAATGGCTTGTAGTTTCCATTGTAGGCTGATAATTTATTTACAGATTTAAAAGTATTGGTACAAGAAAACTTTCTTGCTGAAAACCTTTTTTTTAATTTTTCTATCTGCTTTTGTTCTTGTAACTGTACATGAGATTTTCTGTTGCGGTTCATTTGTGCAATTAGTATTATCAAATTTTAGTCATTAGTTATTTTATATATCTTTTCCAATCTAGTATATTATGTAGATAATTATAAATAATTTAACATTCTTATTATATAGTTATTATAATTATATATCAATATTTGTGTCAAGTTAATTTTCTATAAAATAAATGCAATACATTTTCTAGGTGCTTACATAATTATTAGCGTTGGCTGCAATCAGTCACGCAATGTATACAACAAATATTAAATAAATTAAATATCTGATTTAATTTCTTTAGGATCCATCATATTGTTTTAAAAATAAATATCTGTTATCTTGGTGTCAATATATACCGGAACAGGTTAATTATTTAAAAGAACTTGAATTTGAATCAACTTATAAAGGAAAAATGTTGGCAGTGGTTCGTGCTTCAGAAGTAAGAATAATTTATTTTTAATCTTGAATTTAGAAATTATAATTTGTTACTAATATTTTTTTATTTATGTTTAAAAGGTTGAAATATGGCATGTTGGCACTGCCAGCAGCTTAACATCTGGTCCAGTTTTTTCTAATATCAATTTGAATAAAGTATTAGATAAAAATGTTTTAAGTAAAATTTCTGACTCAGTTATAAAAATCAATTTGAAAGAGGCTGATATTATTAGTTTATCATTTTCTCCAGATGGTTCAACTATATCATTAGCTTTGAGTAATGGATCTATTTATTTCTATCAAGTATGCAATACAAAACTATTATTGTTCGAGTAAAAAATATTAATTTAATTTAATTATTTTGTTATTATTTGAGGTATCTTTTGATCATATTTCCGATACACCAAAATGCGTATTTACATGGCATCCTAAAGAAATATTTTTGTCTTTAAAATCTTTGGCATTTTTAGACAACCGTAAAACTATTGATGGAGAGTAAGTAATTTTTCCGTCTTAATATATTATATATAGAAAATATTTTAAATATTACTCATGTTTTGAAAAAAATAATCGGTTATGTATAATAATTATAGTGTAGAACTTTGGAAGTATGTAGTGACTTTATCTAAACATGACGAAATTATTTTATGGTCTTGTGAAACATGGACATCTCTTCAAACAGTACAATTTATTCGACCTTCCACAAAACTAAATCCCATGAAGCTCACAGTTGATGGAACTGGAAGATATATATTTTTGAGTGACATCGACAATAATGTATGTTAGCATTTATTAATTAAATTGTTTGTTTTAATTTATTTGTTACTTAATTTTCAGTTATTATATGTCATGGAGGTAGCTGATGACATTCAGTCTGCTAAAAAAAACATAAAAATAGTTGGTATTACTGAAGTTTTGCTACAAAGTCCCATGTTAAACATGATAATTGTTGATGCTAAAATTGATCATAATGATTTAGATATTACAGATAATCACAATTCAAGTAATTTTTCTTTAACATATTAAATTATTATTAATAATTATATTATATTATTATTAATAATTTTAATTATATAATTTTAATGTACAGATAATATTACAACCAGTTCTTGTAACTATACAACAGTTATTAATTTATTTGCAATACAACCAAAGTCACTACAAGAAGGACAATTAATTATTGTATCTCCAGAATTATCTATTGCGGAACAATATAAAGACCAGAATAAAATTGAACCTGCAAATATATTCCCAAAACCACCAATGATAGATCTTCTCATTGAAACAGTTAATCCCACTACAAATAAATCTGAAGGTAATTATGAAAAAATAACACAACATGTTAATTTTTATAAATAACTTTAGCAAGCTATAATATACTGACTCACTAAAGTATCGCTTTAGCTAAAATGGTTCCGATATGTATCAAACAACTTTTTAATTCACATGTTTTCACACGGAGTTGTTCAATTTTGAATTATTTTACATTTTTAAAAATTATTAATGAGGCACAAATTATTTCCGAAAAAATATTTAATTGGTGCCTATTTTACTTCAAAATGAAAATTTAATATTTTGAATAATGTTTATTTCTAATCAGTAATCAGTTCATTCACATAAGTCGATCTTATATTAAATTATTCTTACTTCAATGTTTTTGCTAAACAGATGTAAATAATTTTTGATGAACTCCTAGTCTATAAATATAAATTTTACTATTTTAATTATTACAGGGTGGGGCACTATAACGGCCGATTTTCTAAGACAAATTATAAAATAAAAAAACGAATAAAAATTAATTATTATTTATTATAATGAAGTACATAACTTGCCATTTATTTTTTAAAAATGATGTCTTCAAGATGATGGCCATCTCTTCTCAAACACTCTTCTAGCCTATTTTGTATATTTTCCACTACACGGCTCTGACAGCAGTGACGTTTTAAGTGTGCGAATGGTTTTTTGTCGTACAGGCTTCTTTTTTAATGCTGAACCCGTTTCTTCAAAGTTGGTTATCCATATTTGAATAGCCTTAGCCGATGGTACCGAATCATGGCGTTTAAGATTAAAATGAAGACGAAATGCACGCTGTGCGGCTACGTAACTGTCTTTTTTGTAAAACAATTTTATCGCATAAGCACGTTGTTTACCACTCCACTGTTCAATGTTTACTAAATGGCATGTTGTCTTAGAAATATTAATAATATTATTGAGAATTCTTTTCTTCATTACTACTCAGAAAATCTATATTCAAAATCGGCCGTTAAAGTGCCCCACCCTGTATTATTAACATTAAATGGTTATTAATACATTTAAAATTAAAGAAAAAAAAAATGTATAATTATAATAAATTAAATTACTCAACAAAACAAACAAACAATTAAACAACTAACAATTTTAAGCTGATCCCTAAAATAAATAAAATTAAAAATATCAATATAACTTTAAACATTTTAAATATAATATAACAAATTAAATTGTACAACTAATATAATTATATATATTTATATATTCATACTAACTATATTATACAAATAAAAAGGTGGACAAGTGGATACTGCTGTACAGTAGTGGTTTGTCGAGTATGTCATCGTAATTGATATATCATTGCATTCGAAAAACGATTTTGAGCAGAGACGGTGTGTCATCATAGCATACATGTATAAATAATCAAATTTAATAATTAATTATCTAAATTATGTCATTGCTATAAATAGCGTAACTATTTTATTCTTAATAATTATATAATATGATGGCAGAAGAAAAATTTATTTTATATTTTATATTCCAAATACTTTAAAACAATGGTAGGTTATTAATTTTATTATATTGTATCATATTATGAATTTTTTAAAATAATTATATTGTGTCTAATATTGACAGAAAATTGATCCTTTACAAAGTAAGTAAATGCAAGTATAGGAAAGCAAACAGACTTAGAAATTTTAAGTGCGGTTCTAGTAAATAATGTACATACTGTCGGTACTACCTGGCATTTTCTTTACTTTAACTATTCTTTTTGGTTGAATATATTCGGTGTGTATAGTATTTCTACTACTTCGTAACCCTTGACGAATTGCGCTAGTAGTAGGACTATTTTCAAACTCTTCTAGGTTTATTAATCGTAAACTTTTATTTAATATATCACTGGTTATTGGTTTAGTTTCTATACGTTCATTAAGTATTTCTTCACTAAATAAATCTAATTCTTCGTCTAAATTATTTATTTCTATGTTGTCAACTATTTCGCTATCAGTATTGTTTACGTCAATTTCTAAATTACTTTCGTTTTCGATTATTTCAATTATTCTATCTAACGTTTCTCTAGCTATCGTTTCAAATTCGTCATTAATATTTCCTTCTGAACTATTGTTCATTAATATTTATTTTTACTCTAATCCTTTAATTATAATCTCATTTAATATAATCTTAATTGACTTATTATATTTTTTTATTCGATTTGGGCTTTAAATTCGGCTGGGGCTTCTACTCGGGCTGGCGGGCTTTAAACATGGGCTAGGGACTTTAAAACATGGGCTACAAAATCTACACGTGTTCTATACAATGGAGTAGCTAATTCCAAGGGAGTTGTACTTAAATAATAAGATGAACTCAAAAATATGGCCTCAATAATTAATAATAATCTCAATAATAATCTCAATAATGCCCTGTAATAATTCACAATAATTCTCAAAATAATATAAAATACCCTTAATAATTCATAATAATAACTTCTTAATAAATGCCCTTTAATAGTTCACAAAATAATCTTCAATAATAATCAATAATTGCCCTTCAATAATAATCAATAAATGCCCTTTAATAATTCATAAAAATAACTTCAATAAATGCCCTTTAATAACTTCAATAATATCTTCAAAAAATTGCCTCTTTAAATAACTTTTTATAATATGCCCTTCAATAATATTTTAATAATATTTTTATAATATGCCCTTTCTTTAATAATTTTCCCTAATTACGATGGACCAATAGACCAAAGGAGACGGTTATATAAATTATGCTTACAACATTGCTGTATTCATCTCGTTGCTTGATCTCTCTCGCCGTAGTTGGATTGTAACAAACGTTCGGTCTTCCCAGAGTCGTTGAATTGAAGCGTGCACTCCTCAGCTCAACGGTGATCCACGAAGGTGAAGTTGCCTCTGTTGATTGAAGTTGATCCAAAATATTTCGAAAAATATTGTTGAATGATCCTTGTATCTTGGAAGACCCTGTCCACAGCGCCAAAATTCTGTTGCGTCCCAACTGATGTCGATATATACATCAACGTGGAAATGAATACTTGATGCACTTGGTTATTATGAGTATTTATTTAAGTACAAAATTACAATGTATAAAGCTTATGTAGAGAGGTGAGCGGTGTTACGACCTGACTCTGAATTGTTACTAAGATTTTGAGTGGTGTTACGACCTGCCTCCAAAATGATACTAAGACTGTGAGTGGTTTTACGACCTGCCTCCAAGTGTCTTGAGTATCCCTAACCGTCTGCCGAGCTCTTGTCCCGGGCTGGTATTTATATGATCGAGTCCTTTGGAGTGGGTGGTTGTATCAATGGCCAAATTCGGTCATGAGACTGCGTCCGGGTCTCGTACTTGGTATGCTGGTCGACTCGTATCCTTCGTATGAATAGTTGACTTTCCTAGAGAGATACTTTTACAGTGTCCCTAACGTGTTATAATATACTAATTGCCTTATTAATTATATCGTCGAGTACTATTAGAAACCTGCGCTACGTCGTACATTGTTATTACTTAATTACTAAATACGTAGGTACGTAACACCTCCCTTCTAAAAAAAAGACTTTATGTTTAAAAGCTTAAACATAAATCTTTAACATTTTACGGTATTATAACAATTTTACATATATGATACATTGGTTATAAGATAGTGATACATTGTTATATGAAGTAGTGATACTTTGTTACATTTAAATTTAATACATTTGATTTTAAAATTGTGATACATTGGGTTAAGTACATAATAATTTGTTAGATATTAATACATTTTTTTTTTTTTTTTGTTTTGTTTTGTTTTACATTTCCTTCTTATTCTAGTGTTAGTACATGGTGGCTATACATTTGTGGTTAAATACTTAATCTATTATAATTTATACAATTAGACATTATAATTATTACATATTTTATATATTCATCCTATAATCTATTGGTCTTATATGTGTTTGTTTTTTTTTTTTTTTTTAAAGGGAAAAACTTTTATTTGAAAGCTTAATTACTTTACTAGAGTATGTCCATTCAAATGTGTAGAATCTTATCGATTCCCTGATTTCCCAGTTATAGGTATAGTCTACACTATTGAATTGACACTCTTTGATATGATTATTTTATTGTATACCTATCTGTTTTACATAGTTTGTATAACTGTATTGGTCCCATATCCCTGATAATATAGTTAAACAAACATTTGGTGATAATTACATCCGCTACTGGGTCGTGGCTATGGGTTATATCATGGTTTATTTTGCATATTAAATCATGGGTTTCCATTAGATTCAGCATTCTTCCGTTTTTCTGGTAGTAACCTATTTTAGTTGAATATATTAATTTTTTTTTGGTAGATCCTGTTACATCTAGAAGTTTTAAATTAAAATAATTATCGTCGTTATCACTATATGAAGTGATATCCAACATTTTCTTTACATTTAATTGTAATCGGGTTATTATATTTTTATCGGTTGTCCCGTTGAAAAAAACAATGATTGGTGTTCTTCCGTCGGTATGCAAGTATTGGTTGAGATATATGGTAGACAGAGTTGTCGCCCCCTCGAGCTTTAGACTTGATTCTAACTGCCCCAATAAAGGTATTAACTTCTCTGGCTTGTTCCTAAATATCCTTCCAACACTACGCATTACCTGCTTGATTTCGCGATGCTGTAACATCTTTAATTTATTGGTGGTAGTTAACACGATTGGTTTGCCTTCGAGTTTAACTGGCTTTATATTTGTCGAGGCTGTTTGATAATGACCCCGATATAAGTAACAGATCCGTCTTATTTATACTAGTGAACTCGAAGTCCACTATTATGAATTTGATTTTGTCACTGTAAAATATATATAATGATTAAATGTGAGACAACTTTATTTAGATAATATTTTTACATTGCGAGATATTAGTATTACTATCTATTAAAATGTAATCCCTTATGTTAGTTTTATTCAGCTGCCTCGGCGGCTTGTATTAATTCGATTATTAAATTTGCCAAATCCAGACATGTGGGTGCGTGTATTTCGCGTACTAAAATTGTTAATCGGAGAGTCATAGTAATTATTTCCATAATTCTATGCATTTCCGCTGTAGTATAAGGTACCGGTAAATGTTC